ATAACTTGCATCCTTAAGGAATTAACTTAATTTATATCTACTCATATTCATGTAATTAAACGTTTTAATGGTTTGGCCGATTAATCGATTAATCAAAAAAAAATCAACCGATTAATCGATTATTAAAATAATTATTAGTTGCAGCCCTAATGATGATCTTTACCATTGTTTAATTTTAAAAAAGATATTTTATTGCTTTGCTAAGATATTTACATTACAGTCCTACTTTTTATTTGTTGTCCAGATTTTACTCTCTTCACCTTTCGCAGTGATTTGCTAAATAACCACCCTTCTGTCCAAACTCGCCGTCAGACAAAAGCTCAGACACAAACCACTGCTTGGGTGTGCGTTCATGCGTGAATTATATAAAAAATGTTGAAAAAATGGATGTGCACGATTGCTTAGTGTCTGCACGCTCTCACCTTCTAATGAATTGAGACAGAGGAGGGAAATTTCAACCCCAACCACTGTGAAGAAGTGCATAATGTATCAAAAAGAATGAAAAGTTGCCTCCACTCTTTAGCATTCTGGTGACGCTGCCTCCATTTTGCAGCTCTTTGTATAAACACTCATGGCTTTAATAACTTGTTGAGCGGCCTGGTTATTGACCCAGCCGCTCGTTCTCTTCCATTCCTAATCAGCGGCGGTGCCTGGGGCTCAGCATTCACAATGAGCTTCCCACATTTACATCCTGCAGCACATCGACGGACTGCGGAGGGTCAGTGGCCACGAGCACTGATGTGTGTGTGTGTCCCAAATATCATCAACTGGAGCTGATGGCATTACTTGCAACTAATAATAACAGAAAGAGATGAGACACCAGTTTAAAAATGAATTGCTTTTATAAAGAGGAATGCAACAAAAAGTGTTTTTTTTCCTTGTTCTCCAGGTTACTACTTTGAAATTCCATCGATTGGAGCAATCAGAATCAACACTCAGGTAAGATAAAATGCATCAAGTGTGCACAAGCTACTAACAATCCTTTCTATGAATACACAAACACTGAGGGCTCAGTTCAGTTGACGTATTTCAGCAGCTACAACCGTTCTTGCAGTGCTACAAAAATAACCCACCCACACACTCGTGCCTGAAATGACAACAATTCATTCCTGGCGTTCGACACACAATGCATTTTTGTTTTTTCCTTTTATTTTGAATTAAACTAAAGATGGCATAAAAAGCCGAGCGTTTTGGCTCCATCAGCGCCTACACTGCTGTAATCCTGGCAGTGAGCGGGGTTGTGTGGGACCTGTGAAGAACGTGTTGGCCTTTTCTGTTAATTTGTTCGATTTACCGGGAGGCGTTGAGGTGTTTAAACGAGTCCGATAAGTATGTGAGGTGTGTGGAGAGAAAGTTACCGAGTAAAACCATGTTTAGCTGTAGAGCTGTCGGTGTTGGTCCCTCTGTCACAAAACAAAAATGACTTTACATCGAACAGCATGCAGCAACCTTTACTCGGCTGCTGTACTTTAAGAATTAAATATACTTCGTGTGAAGTTGCATCTCTAAAGCTGACGTCTTTGTTATGATGTGCAATTAGAGGAACATGTTGGATTAAAAATTACCTCACAGATGAATGAAGAGCAGAAAAATCAACATTGTTATATAATAATTCAATTATTTCTGTTCCCTGAGAATTAGCTGACGCCTGGCTTCACTCCAGTCCCAACAGACATTTTACAAAAAAATCATTAGAAGTTTTGAATTTTCATGGAAAAACTCCTCTCCTCTGCTGAGAAGCCTTAAGGATGTTTGATTTAAACTTTGGATGTGCGTGGCATTCAGCTAAGGGCTTGGGTTCTTGCCAAATGGCAGTAAATATATACGTGCTAATAGTTTGCGGAATATAAATGTGACGCATTTTTGAAAATGTTACAATGACATTTTTAACACTTCTTTAGTATGCCATGTTGTGAACTGATGAATTAAAAATTTGACTGTTCTATGGGAACATCACATTGAAAAAAAATTAATAAGCATTTCAGCATCAAAATATCTTTAGAAGCCTTTTACAAGATATTAGCAGGATTTATCTGATTAGTTGAAAAAAATGAACAATTTACTTTTGTGAATGAATTCACGTTGAAAAGGTTTTATTTGTAGTATAAAAATGGAATTTGTGCATGTTTTTAAATGGATTTGCAATTATGGCATTTAATATAAACCTAGCACAAAAAAGTAAGACAATTTGTGTTTGGTTGGTTATTTCTTCATCATAACAATGCTAATTGGTGATAAATCGTATACTGTTGGACAGCCAGTTAATTTCCCTTTTATATGGTGCCGCATTTGTAAGGAACATGCATTTGTGGGATGAGCAGTAGAGCTGAATATGTGGGTTGTGCGCATGAAAAAATTGCCAAATCTTCTCCAGAACTAGCTGCACCTGGATCAGTTCTTCTGTGTTTACCTGTGTCTCTTTCCTGTCCCTCATCCAGCCGGTCAAGGCAGATGRCCACCTGCCCTGAGCCTGGTTCTGCTGGAGGTTTCTTCCTGATTAGCAGGGAGTTTTTCCTCTCCACCGTTTGCTCAGGATGGGAGACTGTGATGAAGTGATTCAACACAATCTGCTGGCTTCCTCTTTAGATTGTTCTTTTTCCTGCACAGTGCCCTGAGACAACATATGTGGTGACTTGGCGCTATATAAATAAACAGAATTGAATTGAATTGAATTGAATTCTCTGCCTAACAGCTTATTTTGCTGTTGTTATGGACACTTGTTTTGAGCTTCTGGCACCCCCAGGTGCTGGCAATCAGATTTATTTCTAACAGAAGTATTGCTACAACAAAAAATCTACCAAACACAAGTTTCCTTACTCAGTTAGCACCTAAAAAGAAAATAAAGATGTTACTTCTAGAACAGCAGCATTTGTCCTGATCCGCTGTTTTGCAAATGACTTTTTCTCACTCAAAACTCATTTCATTTCTGTTTTTTTTTTTCAAACTGCAAATTTCTGTTACCAGCTGTCGACCTACATTTTTATGACAGCTTTGCTTGCTGACACAAATTTCACATTTTATGCAGTGTTATTTGGGACCACTAAGCCCAGGATGCAGTAATGATGCTCTGGTAAAGTAACGTTTGGGTGGAAAACACGTTTTACTGAAACGGGTGAGCAAGTCTACAAGATCACTCCAGTTAGACAGCAAGTAGTTGTTGATGTTTCTAAGTACTCATCATTCCAAAAAATAAAAATTTTTGCCTTGTAAGTCAAGCCTGACTGAGCAGGCCAGTTGTTGTGTTTGAGTCGCTCTGTCTCAAGGCTGTAGTTTCCAGCCTAACATTTGGAAATATGACAGAGAGGAGGGATCATTTCTCTGTGAGTGATGTCCACTGGCAGGCTTGTACAAAGAGTCAACATCCAGTGAGTCAGACCATTTTCTAGTTAAACCTTTCAACTCTGATCTCTTCCACTTTTCATACTGAAGGACTCTTATCCTGGAAACTAGGAGCAGAACCAAAAGTTACAGTTGGATTTAGGCTTTAGTGTGTTTTGACAAGGGAGACATGAGACAGCACAGCTGGAAGGACTGGAGTTTGTCAGTAAAAGATTGTGTCTGGAAGCCAAGTAAAGTCAGTTTATTACATTCAAATTTCTGTCTGTCACACACACACATATTCAGTTTCCCCTCACAATCGAGGCCCATTGCCCTTCCACTAATGCCACATTTGCTTGAGGCACAACAAGCTTTGAGAGACCCTCGGTGTAAACTCATTCCGGCTGTAGAAATTGACTCACTGGTTTGGTTGCGGTGGAGCTTCTCTGCGAACCGTCCTCCTCTCTTCGTTTCGCTCCTCTTCCAACCCACACACCCAGCCAGGCCTGTGAGCAGTCAGGCCCCAGAATAGACTGTCAGCTGTTTCATTAACTCTGGCATATATTTATATTCAGAGAACTGCCACTTATTCTAATAGGTTTTCTGAAGGTGGGTGACTACAGCCCTCCACACGGGTCCAGAAGAAACATTCTTGTGTTATTGAACCTCATTTTGCTTTTGAACAGCACAAACTCCTCACGTAGACTTGATTGGGTAAGATGGCGACCTCCAAATAACAGATGGGCTGCAGACGGTAGAATATCGGGAGCGCTGTCCCGAGTCACATATATGTGGAATGTTTCCATCTAAAGTGGAGCCGCACTGATGAATTTACTCTCAGCAATCATGGTTGCCATGATACTCAGGGAGGAGGACAGGGTGCGTTTAATCAACACACACCGATGCTGCTGAAGTCTGCGCGGCTGTGCTTCCCTTTGTGCCGTGTTGCTCTGGTTGCTGACTTGTTATGCTTCCTAGATTGTCCTAGCCAGGCGGAAAATTCCCGCGAAAAGCTCTGGCTGTCGCTGCCCTGATGGAATATCTCCCCGTGGCACATTAAACTGGACTTTTATTGAGCTAATAATAGAATAGGTTACACCTGTCAGCACCTTTCTGTTCAGATGAATAATTAAAAAAAAACACAAACGGTCAGAAGAAGTATTATACTGAAATGGCTGTGTTTCTTTAACGGTACAACATTCTTTTGTGTTAATAAGAGTTGTGTCAAGAGTCGGGCATTTCTGATGAGATGCCTTTTCATTTCTAAGTGGATGGAAATGCTTTTTTCTTAAATGGTAAACTTAATCTTTAACCCAGTAAGACCTGCTGACTTTTTGTTCAGCCTGCTTTTACACTTGGATTGTAATAAAACAAAAACAAAGTATCTTGATGGTCAGTTTATCTTTTGGTCATTGGATTTTCTTATTTTTTTTCTTTTTTTTTTGCCACTTCAGTAGAAAGCAGTACTGAATATCTGAATATTAGTATCTTAGCTTCTTCATCATCAGTGGCTTTTTTTTTTGTAGATAGAAAGAAGAATGTGAGATATATGTCAAGAAAACAATACAATACAATACAATACAATACAATACATCCAACTTCTGTCTGCACACCTGCAAAGAATAAAGGTCATTGGATTTTCATTTTGGAAACGGGTATTAAAAAACAAGAAATGAGTGGATATTTGATTTTTGTTTTAAAATACTGAAATTCAAATGCAAACTGTTTCTCATTCTTAGTGTCAAAAAGGGGTAAACAAAATGTTAAAAATTATTTGAGTTTCATTTTCTGTTTCAGATAGCATAAAAGGAAATTACTTTAAGACAGAAATGAAAAAAGGCTTGTTTGTTCATAATCCACGACAGGTCGAGCCAACTTACTGTCTCCCATCAACAAACTGTTTCACCACCAGAAGGGGCGCTCGCAGTATCAAAATTATTCAATGAACATCCCATTACAAGTAAAAAGCATTGATACTGACTTTGGTATCAAATATATTTTCCAAGTATTTATTTGGTATCAGATCAATATCGAACTCGTAGTACCGCCCACCCTTCGCTGAAAGGAAAACTCCAAGGATGCAAACTCAGAAAAAAACACAGATTTTGTCAAAACTCAGGAGGGAAAAAAAAACTTTCTGCTTACAGAACAACAACTGTACAACACACTAAGGATGAAAGTTGTCTTATTTTGCTTTTTATTGAGCGAAATGGAGGTGAAGTGGAGGCAATAGCCGACATGCATTCAGTAAAAGAGACTTATTTGGCCAAAAACCACACAAAGTATCTCTGCAGCCTTTGGTCACAGAGTAACAGTCATCATACAACTCATTTATTGACATACACGTCTGTTTCAGCTTTTTATTCAGAGAAATTAGAGTTTTATTATGCAGAGCTGCCAGACGAGCGCCCCTTCTGGTGGGGGAATAGATAGTCATAAAATAACAAACGAGCCTTTTTTTTGTTTCTGTTTTAAAGTTGTTTTCTTTTTTGCTACCTGAAACAGAAAATGAAACTCAAATCATTTGAAAAAAAAATTGTTCTTCTGTTTTTAACACTAAGAATGGGAAACGCTTTGTATTTTAATTTTAATTCCAGTATTTTAAAACAAAAATCGAATAACCACTCATTTCTTGTTTTTTAATACCCGTTTCTAAAATGAAAATCCAATGACCAAAAGGTACACTGACCCTTGATTTTCTATCTTCACACCATTTTTTCCTCCTGTTCTACATTTGTCCTGAGTCAGTAGTCATTTTTACACTTGCACGAACTCTCCAAAAGGATATGGTTCAGTAGTTTGTTTACAAGAAAAAGACATCCTGGCTGTTTAGCGAGAAAAGCAAAAATAACATAAATATAATATATTGCTTATAGATTTAACCTCTCTCTTTCCATTCAGAATCGCTATGGGATATTCTCCCTGTGCCAGTGTTTACAGTGGAGCTTCTGGGAAGTGGTGTGGTTTTGCGCGTTGCGTCGTTGACACCTCTAATGTGTTTTTAATAGCTCTTTCACGATGATGAAAAATGACCTCGAGTGGCTCAGGACTGGAGGCTTTCCGGCTCGGCAGGACCGGGGACGCTGTTGCTGGTGGCCCGCTGGTTTATGTGGTGGCAAAGACGAGGCCGGTCAGGGTCTTATAGTTTTATGACGGATGAACATTGGAAGCCTCTGAGCCCTGTGCCTTTAATGTCACAAGTATTATAAATGTCTGTTTGTGTTTATGGTGGGTGATCGTGGCACTATGATGCGTAATGTTGTTGCTGCAGGAGTACCTGGACGTCCTGGGACGTCCCATGGTGTTGGCTGGGCCTAAAGCTAAGCAAGTGCAGTGGACAAATGTCTACCAGGATGCACTGGTAAGTGTAAAGTCCAGAACAAAACATGCTGCTGTGTTAAACAGACTGATACAAGATGGATAATGTACTACATTAATTTATTTTTGTTGTTGTTGTTGTTGTTGTTGTTGTTGTTGTTGTTGTTGTTTAAATTTTTTCGATCTGTCATCAAATCTGACACAATTGCTTAACTTGAAGGGCCTATGACATGCCTATCCTTGAAATACAAAAAAATCAAATAAAACATCTTTATATTTAAGAAACTTGACATAATACTCCTGATTTTAACAATTTTGTTACACAACATATTTTTTCTTTTGAACTTGGCTTTGCTAAAGCGAAACAGGAAGTGACATCAAAGGGGAACTCTTTAAGAAAAGGAACTCTGGTCTTTTTATTTAAACGTTATTTGATCTCCAACTCTTCTTCATTTCTCTCTGATAGTGATTCAAAATAACCTAAAGAAACATCCGATTCTTCTCTACAGACTGTGTCGTTAGCCAATGTAGTCGTGCTTTATTTACATGCAGACATTCCTGTGTCATCACTTCCTGTTCCTTTACATGCAAAAATGTCAACAACTGTTCATTTCAGCGACATAAACTTTTTTTACAATATGTTATTGATGTTATCTTTCCAAAAATGCATTCATATTTACTACAAAACATTGATGTCATAGGCACTTTAATGAACTCTTGACACAGAATAACATTCTCACTCATGGTCGATTATTTAAAAGATATTGACTGATTCTTCAGCTGGATAAATAATTGGCCTACATTTCAATGTTTTATGTGTCTTGTGTTTGCTCTAAACCTTAAATTCCTCTTTCATGTGTCTTTGTGAAAGTTATTATTATTATCTATTTATTTATATGTTTTTTTTTGTGATTGTATTGTGGATAAACTGTTCCTTAAGGATTTCTGAATTTATTTGTTAGGGTCTTGGTCTTGTCATCACTGGGACGGTGCCAGTTTTCAACCTGACTGCAGACAGCGCAAGCTCCCAGGTAAACATTTACCCGACATGAAACCGCTTGAATGAATGAGTTAATCTAAATAAAATGCATTTTATTGTCTTTTGTGAGGACACAACTGTAAAGTCACACAAACAAACGTGATAGTTTTAGGTTTTTACTTTCAATATTTTCACCATCATCAATCATTTGTATTCATCCAGACAGCTGCAGCTCTCCAAAGCAACACCTCCCCCATGAGGTGGCAACAAACATCACAAGAAGTCACTGATCGTATCCACTGACCACCACAGAGCAGATAGGTTGCAGAGTTCATTAGTGAAGCATTTGCCTGGAGCTTATCATACAGACCTGAAGGAGTGATGCTGCAGTTTACTGACTCGGTTTAAAATAGAAAACGTGGACAAATCAGACACATAATACCTTGTAGGTGTTCTTAGCTTCCATGTTGTGTAGATATTGTAGTTTGTGGATATGATCCTAACTGCTGCTTTGTTTCCTACATACAGAATCAGCTCATCCTTGGAGTTATGGGAGTGGACGTCGCAATCAATGAAATCAAAAAGAAGACTCCGACATACAGAGTGAGCATGTTAGGCTCTCTGCATCACCCCAGTGTCTCTTTCTAATAACTGGTTCTTGTTTGATTTAATGATTTTCTTCTCCCACGTTCTGTTCAGCTCGGGGCTAACGGTTACACGTTCACCACCGACCGAAACGGTTATGTGTTGCTGCATCCCAATCTGAAACCCAAGGTAGGCGCCGCGTCTCTGCACCTCTCCTCCGCATCGAGTCAGATTTCCTGCGTCTGATTCGGGAGCTAAATTTGGACTTTATTCAGGCAGAATTATGCTCATCCTCCCCCACCATCTCCCACCGTGTTCTCTTTCTGTTCAGATCATTAACTTCAGGGAGCCCGTCACTCTGGACTTTTTGGATGCAGAACTGGAGGACAGCAATAAGGAGGAGGTAAAAAAAAAAAAGCTCATCTGAAATGTCACAGGTTTCTTTCTACTTTCTTAAGATTTTACCTTTGTTTTCTTTTATTTATTATGTTTTTTCTTCATTTCTGTATATGAATATGTCTTCTCCTGTTAAAGCTTCTCGCTTTCTCTCCAGATCCGCCGACTGATGATTGATGGCAAATCGGGGCAAAGGAAAATCAAGACGCTCATTAAGTCAGTTGATGAGGCAAGTCATCAATATATGTGACTCAATCATGATCCAAAGTAGCACCTTCCTGAATGTGGGTGTAATGAATCTAAATCAGCCAGTTATGTTTACAATCTTTTGTTTCCTTCTAATTACGGGAAGGTTGATGTGACAGAGTTACTTATTGTCATGTGTTTGTACCGACAGAGGTACATCGACGAAGCCATGAGGACGTACACATGGACGCCTGTGGAGGGTACAGACTACAGGTATGTTTGAAAACCAAACATGCGCCTAATTAAATCAGGTTATGAAACGTGTAAATCACAGCTGCTATGTTACACAGGTTAAACAGACTAAATCCATCACTAATAAAGACATTTTGCCGATTTTACATTCTGAATTTTAACATAAAATTAAGCAAAATAACCCAATTTAGTTGCTGTTATAAGATAAAAACTATATAAAATATATATGTGTTCAATATAGTTAGAGAGTTAGTAGCTGCTAACACAAGACAATTGATGGTTAAGCAATGATTTAAATACCTGCAAAGTTATCAATACCTCATTTAAAGGGATAAATTTAACAAATTCTGCTTTATTCCTTAGATCTCACCCACTTAAATTTCTTCCAATACGTTGACTTTGGTTTAACTTTAAATGATCAGATACTTTTAGAAATTTCAAGTGTCTAGTTTCTGCAAGGAGCTGTGTGTTTCTGGGTTTATTCTAGTTCTCACTCTTTATGTTTAGGGGCGTTTTATTAAGAACAAGCAAAGTTTTTTGTTTTCTTCACTGAAGAATGCATTTTTTTCGTGCACAGATAAGAATCAAATCCAAGGACTTTTAAGTTTTGTTTTTCAAAGGAGACATATCATGCTTTTAGATCCTTTTTTTCACATTTAAATCATTCAGTGGAACTGCAATGCTTTGGATCCTAAATTCTCCTTATTGTAACTCCACAAGCCCCTCTTTCATCCCTTTTTTGAGGTGTCTCAGATCAACTCGTTTTGATGCTGTCTCTTTAAATCCAATCATGGCCCTTGTTCGCAAATAAAACAGTGGATTTTGCATGATACAGTATGTCCCCTTTAAGATAAACAAATTTATTATCTCTATGATGGGATCCAACCTAGTCTTTTCTTGCAGTTTTGGGATTTTGCTAAGGTTGTCTAAACTAATGGTTTGCAGTCTACAAAATTATTTAGTGGGGTGCTAGAGATTAAAGTGGGGTACACAAGGTTTTACTTGGCACAAAATGTTCAATTGAATTTGCAAATGCAAAAAGTAGAGCCCATTTACTGGATGATCAAAAGTCTGAAGACGAAGAACATCAGACACTGCTGTTGCACACAGGTATGTTTGTTGTTACACGGACAAAGAATTTTGTGTTTAATGCAATTCCAGGTAAAAAAAAATCTGTCTTAAAAGCGAACAGTTCTGTACAAACAGCTGACTGATGTTTCCAATTAAAACATCACAACTCACAGACTTGTCCTCTCATAGTTATGAGACCGGTTTGCAAATACAGGTTCCTGAATCAAACATCCCGTTTCCAAGATGCTGTTTTTATATCAACAGGTGTACAAAAATGAAAAAATTAAAATCAAAAACAGGGAACGTAACAAAGTCCATATTTGTGTAGACAGTGCATGTGTTTAGGAACCAGTTTATTGTGTTAAATGTGATTTAATGTTCCTGATTTTCTGCATCTGCCTGATTACCTCAGTCTAGGGTTGGTACTGCCCACTTATAGTGAGAACCATATCAAAGCCAACCTAAGCGACCAGATCCTTCAGGTGCAGTGTAAGTATTCTGGGGATTACCCAGCATTCCTCCCTCTCTCTGCCTGTCCTCCTCACCTCTTCTCTCTCTCTATCTAATATGACCTTACACTCCGAATCAGTCATTTATCGCGGGTTTCCGACATCATCATACGGAGTGTCCAAGGGGGATCCGTCTGCCCTGCCTCCCCTTCAGCTCCCCTTTCCCCCCTTCTCTATGCTCTCTGATAGGCAGGATCATTGGTTCCCGAGCCCCTCGACTCCTCCTCTGCCCCTGCTCCCTCCTGTCTTCATGCTGTGCTGTAAAATGGTGATGTTTTTTCTTCACTCTGGCTGAAGAAAAAAATAAGTGAACTGACAGAAAGGTGAAAGCTGTGGTTTTTACTGTCTCTCAGGTGAAAATAATGGTGACCTTTGTGCTATTATTTACTTTATTTTTTATTTTAATTTTTTTTTTGCCAAATGCTCTCGCCTCTTCTCCACCAAGTAATGATTCTGAAGCGCCTGTGTATAAAGTATTCTGATAATAACTGTGAAAATATGCATGCTTTTCACTCATTTTGATGGGTTTTATGATTTGGAGAATTTTCCTTTTTATTCTATGTGTGAGGTTTTTTTTTTTTATTTTATTATTTTTTTATTTTTGTTAGACTGTGTGAGATGTTTATCAGCTTTGGAATCATTCAATTGATAAACTCCCACATGGCCTGGAATACCGGCTTCTCATTTGTGGGAGTTTGGGTTTTCGTGGGTCTGAATGGGGACACATGTTGTCTCTTTCATTCTTCCTTTGTCCAGACCCTGATACTCCTGTGTTTTTCTGGTGCTTTTGATTTCTTTCTTGTTTATTGCTATGTTTTTGTTTTGTCGTGGTTATTATTATTATTTTTATTTTGTTACAATTGTTGGTTTTGTTAATGTTTTTTTCTTTTTCCTGGATCATCCAGGTTTTTCTTCCTTTGTTTCTTTGTTTGGTCTTGCAAAAAGCGTTTGCTTTTCATTTCTTTTCTCTCTTGTCTTGTTTGACTTTAATTGGTTTCTTTCTTTCAAGAAAACAATATTTTTATTCAAACAGTAATTGAATAAAATATTGTCTGTGATTCCCCTCCTTCCCACCCGATCCCCTGTTTCTTTTCTTGCTCTCTCCTTCTCTGACGGATCCACACAGTGCCATACACCAAGGGCAAGTATACTCCACATTGGTCCACGTTCCCCACCTTTTCCTCCCTTACCCTATCGCTTCCTCCTCCTTCCCTCACCTTTTGTCCTCCTCCTCCTCCTCCTGCTGCCTTCCCCCCTTCCTACCCTCACCTGTCCCAGCCTGCTTGCCTTTGTTCCTGCCCGCCATGCCTTCAGGATTTCCTCTCTTTTTTTTTTCTTTATGTCCCCACTTCTTCCTACTTGAGTCCCTTCTCTTCTTCTTCCCTTTCACCCTCTCGCTAAAGCTCAGATCCCACATCTTTCACAACAGCTCCTCCAGTCCTCAACCACCCCCTCCCTCCCTCACATCTGCTGCTTCAGGAACAAACAAAAATATAAAAGCAAAAATGAGTACAGCCCCTGCAGAAGACAGAAATTGTGTGTTTCATGTTAAAACTTGTCTTTTGTTTCCCCCTCTCATCAGTCCCTTTCTATTCTGTAGAAAGTCTTTAGAGTCGTGTTCTCTCTGCGCCTCCGTTCCTTCCACCTCACCAACATTTCTTTCTTCTGTGCTTTCTCTTTCACTTTCTTATCTGTCTTCTGCCTACGGTGTCACTAGTTCACGAGTGTTTAACTGATTTGCACACGTCGGCAGATAGTTAGGTTTTAATCCCTGTTTTAGTGTTGTAGTTACACAAGCAATACATAAAAGAAAAGATCTGCATTCTTTGATGTTCTCTTAAAATATAGGAAAGTATGCACACACTGTTTGTGTTGCATCTAAGGCATTACAATATATGAATATTTATAAGTAGGGATGCACCGATTGCTCAGTAGGTGAAAGGAATCAACTGATTGTTAGTATAACCTGCTTGATCTGCAACTGGCACCGAGAAATCTGACTTTTTTCTATGCCTGTGAATGCACCATTCCTCGTTCACACTAACCAGTATATTTTTGTTGTGAATATTTTGGTAACGATTTCTTTTACGGTACCCTTATTACCATGTAATTACAAGGTAATAAAAATGTAATTACATGATAATTACGGTACAAAAGAAAAATTATTGGGTAACTACAATCAAATTACTATTCAATAGTAACTCAATACTATATTTATAACCAAAAGAATGCAACTAAATGTTGGGGTTAGTGGTTAATTGCAATAAAATATAACTTTAAAACTGTCCAAAATTACCTACTACTTATTTAGGTGTTACATAGTGAATTGTATACATTACCAGGTAAGTGCTACATTACTGCAGACAATTAATTACATAGTAAAATTGTGCCCTAATTACCTTGTGATTACATGGTAACAAGGGTACCGTAAAAGAAAGTGTTACCAATATTTTTACTGAACATAGAATATGTGGTTATTTGTATAAGCCCTGCTATAAAACAGTATACATAACAGCCACAAAATAGCTAAGACAGACTCTCCTTTAAGCCAGATCTCGCCGTTCACAGGTTACAGAGTTTTTGAGTTGGTAGCAGTATGAGCTTGCATGAATAAAGCCTACATTGCAGAACCACAGGAGGCATTGAGTTAACATAAAATGCTATATACAATGGGCATCTCCCACTTTAAATTCTGCTGCCTTCTGGTCACAAAAAAAACCTTTATCATCACAACCTCAAGCTGTGGTGCTGGCTTATTTTTACACATATCAACCATTTCAGCTCTGTGACTGCCACCTTTGCAGGCTCAGAAACATAACAGCGCCCATGCCAACCCCTCATTGCCTTCTCTGTCCTTTCATAAAAACACACCGAAATGAGAAAAAGACCCTCCTTGAACTCGTTTTGTGAAAGAGGTGTAAACGTCAGAAAGCACCACAGGTAGAAAAAGCTAATTAAGGCAGACATGCATTTCCTTCTGAAGCATATTTTCTGATTACTTCACTGTAACATATAAAATGAGGGTGTACTTATTAGTGCAAGCTCATGCTTAAACACGTAAAGAACTGGAATCAACAGAATCAGCCTGGAAGTTTGCTGTGGGTGCATTTCTATTTATAATCTATTTATATTTTATTACAGTAGAAAAAATAAGAATCTCATGGAGTCATATTACTTTTTATGAAACTATGGTTTAGACTTCCCTTTTTATTATTTATCAAACACTTTTAACAGTTGTGGTTTGTTAGCTGTCATAATATGTTGTCTCTAGCTGGAAGACCAACCCCACGGGGCTGAGTTGTGTCCTGCCCACTCAGGTCCTCCCATGCTGTCAGGTTTCATGGTGCCACTCAGCACCACACCTGACTCCTATGTCGTCCTTCTATACCCCCTGTCTCCATCGGCTTGTTTCCCCTTCCTCCTCACCCCTCAGACTGTCAGGGGGCACGGCCCAACGCTTCCTCAGTAAACCCGACTCCGGATATGCATGGCATTGTGGGCGGAAAACTACCTGGGCACGCCATTTTTTTGCAGTTTTTAAACAAATACTTCATTTCTATAGATCCTGACCTAAGGTGAAAACGTCACGTTGGAGTCATCTGTTGAGGATTGAGTGAAGGTTGATATTCCATGTGCTGTTTTTGTTTCCAATAGATCAACCAAAGTTGCCCTATGACATGCCCTTCACAATGTTATGCATTTCCTCCGATTGTGTCTCTCTGAGTCTCCTCCCCTGCCAGGCTGAGGGGTGACCTCTTCCATCAGGACCGTCACCCACCTTCCCTGCAATAGTTGGCCATGTTGATGCCTGCCTGATGTAACAGCACTCTCAGTACTCCGTAATCTGTCTGAGAACTCGCTTCTTGACAAATCTCGTCTGGTGAAGCCAGCTCTCAGACATCCAAACCACGTCCGATTGAAACTAATCAGAAAACGTTTGTCTCACAAAGCCAACAAACAGCCAAACCCAAGACGTGAGTRCTTGTGAAGTCATGTACGTCGAGTCAGGTTGTGTTTTAGGCACCATATTGGCTAAYGCTGGTGTTACCATGATACCTCAGTGTTGCTATGGTAAAGTCCCTTCTGCGTCCCTGCACACTGAAKAACAGCTGCTGTTTACCCACAACTCCCCGCTGCTCTGCCCACTGCGCTTTCTGGATAATCTCCCCTTTCTGTTGCAGATTTTGAATCTCTGCTGCCAAACAGTTTTGAGTCTGAAGGACATGTATTCATTGCTCCCAGGTAGCCCTCTGAGTGAATGCTTGCTGTCATCGGTGGTCATCCGTGTTTGGTCTTGTCTTCACATATGATAGACATTATTAAGGAATTGCACGATTTGTAATTTGCTACTTTGGGTGAAACTACTTTGGATTCCCAAGTACGGGTCTCTGCAGCCACTTAGTAGGAGTTTCTTGGGTAGAGTTTGGGCAAAGTCAGCTGGTGATGGATGGATGGATGGATGGATGGATGGATGGATGGATGGATGGATGGATGGATGGATGGATGGAGCGAGCTGGCAGTCAGGCTCACTTCAAAGGACCAGAGCCTGTTATAGGTATCTCAACAACAGTCTGTAGGACTGCCCTACAGACCTGGATTAGACATCAACACTCAATCCGCTGGAGGGAGCTGACAGACTGTAGACRGGCACGGGAACTGATTAACGGCCCAATCTAAGGTTTGGGAAAGCTCTCATTGCCCTATCAAGGAAAACTTTAAGTACACTGGTTGGAGTCCTTACTGGGCACAATCTGCTCAACCACCACAAAATGGTGATGAGACTTCATGACAATGGTCTGTGTGATGCCTGTGGCATTGAATTAGAGACCTCTTTGCACTACTTAGACCACTGCCTGGCTCTGAGTGGTCAARGGAAAAAAATTCTTGGGGACCCCTTTATGGATCCCGAGAAACTCAGAGCACTGAGTGTTTCTAACCTTGTGTCCTTCATCCGAGGGACGAGAAGGTTCGAATAAAGACCAGTGTCTTTTTGGGGAGAGCAATGGGCCCACTTAGGAGTCCTCGGCTCATATGGATTTTATATCCATCCCCACTCAACATAACCATAGATAGAATTTATTGTCTGCCCCAAAGGTGACAGAAAATCGATGTTAATCCATGTTAAAAACATACACTCAAGATATTTTTATGTTTTAATATAGATTTTAATATGAATATTAATCATATTACAAGACAAGAAGGTKCTAGCTGCACCAAATTTAAAGTCAAGCATATTTACATGTTCACAATCATTTTACCATTGTTATTTTCACCTTTTAACTTCCCCACAAGTCCTTCCGACCAATCACGTTTTACCCAAACTACGCCTCCACCCCTATAACTCCTACAGTGACTGCAGAGACCCCCTTCTCTGGATTTCCAGAAACATTGTTATGAACTCATTAGCTGTTTATTTCTGCTAATATTTTAGCAGAATGTATAATACTGTGCGCAGAAGATGCATTAGATCTTTGCATGCTGCCACTGTGTGCCGCTGCATGTTTGTTGCACAAACATATCAGTTTTTAATTGATATAATGTAGGCAAATGCTATATACAGTATACTATATATATATACTGTATACATACAGTATATAGACATTTTTAACAAAAAAGAAAAGCCAAACTCAGTGCATGTGTACATTGAAAAAAAAACAAGAGATTTTCAGCTGCAGATTGAATCCTAATATTTATTTTTTCACCTTTTAAAACCTGCATGCTGCACACGTAAATGACTTTTGTATAAGTATTGTCATGTCTACCTGGTGTTGTGTGTTCTTCTGGAAAAGGCAGACTTAGTGTCAAACGCACTTGTTTTTACCTTATTTTATTATTCCAAAGGTTGTAATGCTTTTCCCTGTTTTTCAGGGAGTACTGCAATGATCTGGAGCTGTCCAGCAACAACACGGAGTTCCTGCTCAACTTCATCGCGCTCATGGAGAAGGTGACGCCAGACTCCAAACAATGTAAGATTCCTTTGTCTTACCTGTAAACTATCAATGCTTACAGACCAAATGCTATAAATATCTTATTCACATGATCACTGATTAATATTACCTGTGTGAAAACCCAAAGTTTTTAAATTGTGGAAGCCTTTTTTTCCCCAATCCACTCTGCTTTTAGGTGACAATTTGCTCCTTCACAACCTGATTCTGGACACCGGCATCATCAAACTGCTGGTAGAGAAAGTGTGGAAGAATAAAGATTTGAATACGTGCGTTTCATTCGTCTGCTGTTGGATTTCGACGACGAGGGAGATTTAAGATTTGAAGCTTGTTTCTATTTATTTCCCATCCTTCAGATATGGCTTTCTGGCTGTGTTCGCAGCAACAGATGGAGGCATAACGAGAGTCTTCCCGAACAAGTGAGCGCACTCTTCATCAGTACTGTGTCTGAGTCTGCAGTTGTTGTTCTTTTTATCTTATTTTTCTAGTGCTCTTCTCTTTTAAGTTGGTAAGTTAGGATGTTGAGCGATGGCTTTAGGAAGAAACTCGTAGAGCAGAAATTTACGACTCTAGTTTCTCCGGTCTTAAATCCTTAGGGCTGCAGAAACCTGGGAGGAAGACCCTGAGCCATTTAATGCCAGCTATTACCGGCGCAGCCTTGACAACCGAGGCTACGTCTTCACAGCGCCGTATCGATCTGGTGAATAATCTTCTGTGTCTTTGGGTGTATAACTCACACACGCAGCGTGGCTCTTTGTTTCTAATCCTCCTTGTTCTTTGTGTCTCTGTCTGTTTTTGTGTCACAGCTGAAAGGGATCTGCTGAACCCAGAAAATGACACAATCGGTGTTCTGGTCAGTATGGCTCTGGATATTACAATAGGAGGGAAAACGATCAAACCTGCAGGTTAGCTGACATGAATGAAACAGTTTATTTTGTCACTACATCCAAGCTTTGCATCAGCATATTTTGCAGTTATTTCATACCTTTCTTAATACGTTTTCCTTGCTAATCATGTTTTTTTTCATAGTTGTTGGAGTGAAATTAGACCTTGAGGCCTGGACCGATAAGTTCAAGATTCTTGCCAGCAACCACACAGACAACCGCCAAGGCTCAAATACGGTACAATATGCATACAATGTTTTCTTTAGGAGTAGTTTGGTGCTTTTTTTAATTTTTTTTTTGATAAAAAAGGAGTAGTTTGGTGCTTATTTCTACAATAATTCTAATTTACCAATTTGTTTTTTCAGTGTGGACCGAACAGGGGCTGTGAGATGGACTGTGAGGCCAATAGTGACGTGAGTATTAATACAAATTGTTTTGTTGAATTAAAAGTGCTGCTTCCAGTCATAATTCATGTCTGTCTGTGTGCAGGATCTCCTGTGCTATTTAATAGATGATGGTGGATTCCTGATCATGTCCAATCAAAAGGAGCACTGGAGCGAGGTTTGGATGAAAAATCAATCAATAKGTTACCTGTTTCGCAAATTTTTGGCTTTGATCGTTACTCAGAACCTGAGCGGCGTTTCTTATCCTCGCAGGTGGGCAAGTTCCTCGGCGACGTCGACCCCAACTTGATGTACGCTCTCTACAACAACTCCTTCTACAAAAGCAAGCAGTCGTTCGATTATCAGTCAGTGTGCGAGCGAATGCAGAACAATGAAGCTGGTGCTGCGCCAAGAGGCGTGTTTGTGGTAAGAAGCTAACTCCCGAAACTTGTTTGTTTAGCGTTTTAAGTGCTGTCTGATAACTCATCACCTCATGTGCTCCCAACCACATGACCAACAACAGATTTATGGGCAAGATGTAAAAAG